GGAAGAGAGAAAGTTTTGCCATTTTCACTTGACGTACATCAGGTCCGAGATCAAGCCCACTGCTTTACTAGAAAGAGTCATGGGGATGAGATTTGTGTGTGAAAGAATTTAAAAAAGTGTGAAAAGACCTCCAGGAATTTTCCACCTGAAAACAAACCACAAAAGAATGCACAACAAGAAAAAAAAAACAAAAAAGCCCTGACCAGTAGTAAAGGTGCCGGAGCTGAAAATAACATGTGCCTCAGGGTAGTGTGGAGCTTTCAAAGACAGAGCTGTTAACCTCTGGACTTTGCTCCTCTCTCTTGTCTGTGATCAGGGTGCAGGCTGGCCTTTCTTGGAAAACTATGTTTGGCTCATGTCTGAGTCTGCAAGTCTGAGAAAACATGGGCTAAGCAGCATTTTATGCTGTAAATGGGCTTTAATAAATCTTTTTTTTCCTCTGGGATCTATGGAGGGGCACATCAGCAAGTTAGAATTCACTTCCATTACGCTTGGGGACTTGTGAGAATAGTCAAAAATCGAAGCAGCAGAGGCGAAGTATGAGTGAAGCTCCAAAAACACTGGATACCACATTACCCATAATGCTATTAAATAGCATCTTATTGTTAAATCTTTCCTAGCTGGTAACACCCATGCTTTTCAAATTTCACATCCCCAGTTTGGGATCCAAAGTTTTCTTTTAACAACACCAATTGTTTTTCATATGTATTGCACCTTTAAAATGGTCACAGTTAATATGAGTACGCAAACACTGGCATTCATTTTTACTATAACAAGACTAATGTGGCTCTACAACGTTGTAAAAGGGAATTTCCATTGTAGTCATGGGTGAACCTGAAGTAGACAAAGGACTCTTTGTTGAACATCTGTGTTGGTCAACACTCACACAATCACTAACGCTGTCGTGATTAAGTATTACTTCAGGTAATCATCAACACTCAAAATCTATCACTTTACAAATCAAGTGTCACTGCTTAAGCTGATATGAGTTTCCACTGTATAATTTCACTAAAGCCGCTGATTCACTTCTTCCACTTTAGAACAACTGTAGTGGGAACAAATGTTTAGTATCTAAGGATATAAATGTTTTAAAAAAACCTGCAATTTTTGGCTTTTGACCTCGATTAAATTCATGCTTAAACTTAAACCTCCATCAGAACTAATGTTTAGGCTCTATTTCCTTATCAGAATATGTTTGTATAACTAATACTGACTGTATTTGATATGTGGTCATTTTTCTCTCATTTTCACAGCTATAGCTACGAATAAGAGCTGTGGTTTTTGTCAATCAAAACCTTGCCTTAGTCGTGGTAGTGTTTGCATGTCTTTAAAAGCACTTGTAAACATGTGGTTAAATCTGTTTCCAGTAATCTGTGACCAGCAGGTCCAGATCACCTCCCGACCTCTGAGTAGATTTAAATCAGATACAGATTCCAGAAGGCCCCAAAAAATCTTTTTCCTTTTAACCCCCCTTAACCCGTCTTCTTCTTAGTTTTGCTAGATTTAAAGTTTAAAATAGAGGGAGTTACATAATGTGCAGCAATTCAAAGAGCCACATCCAAATCAATGAAATGCAACATGATCCCATCCTTTGCCCTAGATTCATCCCTTAGTTACAGGTTTCAAGGACAACATGGCCATTGTGCACAAACAAAATATCTGCTGGAATGATTCCTCATCTGATTTTCTGTTTTGGTGCCCTAACAGAGGCAAAAATGTATTATCTCAAGCTGTCTGAAGGATTGTCAACCTTTTCAAGAACATTTCACTGAACATACTGGCACCAAAAAGACTGCATGTATTTAAGCTAAAGAGGCACTTCTCAGGTTGTGATTTTTCTGTGTGAAAATTTTTGATGAGATGGAATCAGTTCTTTCTTTTCTTTTTTTTTCTTTAAAAACACCTATCATTCAGTATTTTGATGGCAAATCCGAAGCCTTTTCTCATTGCGTCATCACCACCTATTAATCACTGAAAAATGAGGAGCAAAACACCTATTTATTCATAGGAAAATTTGCTTAATTAAATCATCCAGCATTGGTAACTCTCAGATGTGCATTATTTTGCCGTTGCATTAGCTTGAGTCCCTTTGGTTTCATCTCTTGTTGTTGTTGTGTTCTGTACAACGATAAGTCTGGCTTATGTTTGTGCGTAGAAATCAAATCGACAATTACAAATTTGGTGTCCTCTCATTTCATTTCAGAGTCAAAACAGAGTCAAAACCCCCTCGATGCAGGACCGCTGCTCTAAAAGGACAACGTGCCACAATTTTGCAAAGCTCACCCTATCGATCCTGGCCATGGCAGCTCCTCTGAGATTCACACTTCACTGACTACTCCAGCCAGATAGTTTTGGAACCACTCGTTCTCTCCCCACTGCTCCCAATCTGTAGTGTTTTCATTGTCGTTATCAAATCTGTCTTTGAAGATAAAATCCTCTGCCGAACGTCTCACTTTTTCTCATACATGAAAAATAAAACACAGCCGTAAACCGAGTGCAAAGAGCGCAGGGCTTTCAATCTAGATTAGCTGACGCTGAGTTAATGAAGGGGAATATATTAATTTTTGATCACACATGCATACATATAATACATACATAAAGAGCCATATGTATATAGACCACTTGACAGCACTCTATTCCATACAAGCATGACCTTAAGAGGAGAGAACCAGAAATTAAGGACAGAACCTTGTGAACGTATCATTTCATGCACCATTAGGTGTCCTGCCATGACCATGAGCTTTTCTGTCTCCTTTTTTCTCTCTCTGCTCTTGAACATCTCTCTCACGACCTTGATCTCTCTGCTGCGATTTATTTATTTATTAACAAAATAATATATTGGAGTCTAATTATTAACAACTTGATAGTTATAGTTGTATTACTACTTTTTTTTTTATCTGAACGGGCCCTTCTGGTAAAATAAATGTCCTTTTTATACATCAAATTCAGATTTTACATTTTGTGAAGCACAGTTCATGCGTCTCATTTTTGAAGGACCATACTTTTCAAACATTTTTTGTAACATTTAGAGGATGAAGCTGCTTGTCAAGAGGTTTACATGAACATTTCCCTACTTTTCAGAGTTACGACACAGCAGCAGCAGCAGTAGCAGTAATATGGGAGAAGACCGAAGTCAAATACCAGCTTATTTCATTTCAGCTGGTATCACTGCAGGACTTACTCAAGACAAGACGCAGTAGACTGTTCATCTCTGTGGTTAATAAAGGATTGTAGATTCCATTTAGAGAGAGTATCTGCATTTGTTTTAAGGGGCTCCAAAATATTGAACCTATAATTCCATTGCTCTGTATACAGTATTTATGTTAATTGTGATTCTGTTCTGAGGGGACAGTAATACACAACACAGACAGTAGTTCTCGCTACGTTAGTCACATGTTAAGAGAGATATTAGGTTGTAATCTGACTGATACAAATGACTTGACGTCCTCATCAGTGGCGGAGAGGAGAGGAGAGGAGATGTGGACGGACACACAGAGCGGTGTATCCAAAGGAAATGAATAAATAACAGTGACAGAGAACACACATCTAGAGGCGAGAAAATGATCAGAAGCTGCGAATGAGAGATCAAAGAAAGAACATGAAGACGATCTGCGACAGAAAAGGAGAAGAAAGTGGAGGTGGCAGAGGGAAGCCGGAAGGAGGCAAGTAATCAGTGGTAACGTGCATTCATCCTCCCGGCGACAGGTTGTACTTGTCTGTTCGGCTTGTCTCAGTAAATGAGATGATTGGTGGTGAATACTCCGGCTTTTCTTGGTCCGACGAGGTGTGTGTCAACGCCAAAAGTGGCTCATAGAAACAACAACATGGAAGCAGAAAATCTGATGCTGACAGACAGAGAAATTAAGAAACTGTGTGCGTATGCATGTGTACATTACGTTGTGCATGCTTTGCCTCATGACACAATGTGCAGATGTGTGTGTTGCCACCCTTTAATAACCTAATAACCAAGATAGGCCTTTCCCGTGTTCATGGTACTTCACACAGGGAGAGGGACTTGTTCAGACCTGTTAGTTATGTAAACTGCTGATCAGACACTGAGAAAGCCTGAAGACCGGGCGCACTGTGTAAGATAAATCAAAGATATGCAAATTATGTAACTGCTACCCGATACATTTATGTGTGTGTGTGTGTGTGTGTGTGTGTGTGTGTGTATATGGGATTTTGTGTACTTGCTTTCATTCGCATCCAGGGGAAGTAAAAACAACTTTTCTACAGTTGGCAGTTGGGAGTTCAGTTCCTTGCTGAAAATACTTCCCAGATACTTTTGGGATTCACTATGACAACCTGACAGTCACAAGACTACTTCTGCTTAAGCTCTGAGCTGCCACATATGCACGTGTGTGCGCTGATGTGTGCGTTATGTGCTCAAGCATTCCTGTGCCTGTGAGTGTCTGCGTACATGGTAAAAAAAAAAAAAATGTGCTAGACATTCTTGAACCCATATTTGCGAGTGCCTTTGAAGTTTATGTTTGCACGTGAGCATATACAGTATGTCTCTTTGTATATCCAAATGGGTCCAAACCCCCCTTCACCCCTTACTCCCAAACATCTGTTAAGCTGTAAAGCTTCTGCTCATTTTCTGTTTTCTTGACGTCTTAATATTGTTTCTGTCTCTGTTCTGTCTTGATTATTTTTGCACAAAGTTCCCTGTGCTGCATTCTATAAGTGACGGCCACCGTTTTCTATTTAAGAATTTCCTTTGAAAACGCACAGATTTCTTATTTTATTTTTCTTAACTAGATGATGATCAATTTAAACTGATTTTTCTCATTGACTTCATTTCCATAAACATCCAAAGGTTTTTACGTTTCCTCCTAGACAGTTTTCACTCCTGCTTCCAGTAAATAAGGAAAGCTCAGAAGATGTTTTTGGGGAGATAAAAAAGGAAAACCATTAAAATTAGATGCTATTGTTGAATAAAACTGCGAGGACCTACACGGGTTAACTTCAGTTTTATATCACTGCTCTGTGCCACTCACAGTGAGCTGGGTCGGATCTGCCGGTTGTCCTGCTCTCCGTCGTTGCTGGTCAGGCTGTGTCTCGGGGTTCGACCCTGGCTGCCGCTGCTGCTGCTGCTGCTGCTGTTACAGTTGGCAGAGGAGGAAACCGGCTGCTGTAGCTCGCTGACTGTGGTGTTGACAACACTGTTCCTCTTTTCACCTGCAAGAATAAAGAAACATTTACTACCTGGTGTTTTTTAGATTGAGAAAAATCCTGTCTATTTTTCTGCAAATAGCCACTTTTGGACAGACATGCCTTTTCCTGTTCTAAAACCATCCATCTGTTGGTCACAGTGAACTCTCTCTGATCATGAGCTAACAGTCTAACCACTGACAGTGTGTTGTTTATTCTTTCCGACATAAAGAAGTGGTTCTAGACACTTGCTTTTCTCTCTAAGCCGACCATATGGCAATACATAGCAGGTTTAACTCAACTCTAACGGAATAAGAAAAACTAAGTGGCAGAAAACAATCAGAAAAACAAATTATAGGCGGATCAGCTCACCTTTCTGGGAATGTGTTGGTGTGTGGAAGAGTGTGAGAGGCCTCTCGCTGCAGGACGGGGCTTTGTTCTCAGTGCTTTTTCTCCTGGACAGGTTGAGCTGCAGGTTGGTCGAACCTCCGGCAGAACTCGGCACATCCCTGAATATCTGAGCAAACACAGACAGTAGCAAAGACATATATATACATATATAAAGCAACAATATATGAAGTGTAAAAAAACAACAACATAAACAACATGTGTACAGCATGTCAAGCAATTTATTTTCTCATATGTAACTGCAGGGCAGTGTAGCTTCCCTTATCTTAACACATGCAGGGCAAAGACAGTGATCGCAGTGTTGTGCTTAAACGTTAAAACATGCACACCCATCCAACAATATGCCAGATTGTGATTTGATACAGAAACAGTACTAAAAAAAGCAACCTGACATGCTAAACCACCAGTTGTCCTACAGTATGAGTCACTTAATGCCTAGTTAAAAATTCTTGCCTTCTTGCTCTCTGAAAAGCAAGAAGGTATAATATGTGAGCTGATACAGTATTCATACTAATATTAATTCCTGGTTTTATACAACAGAATTGCAACCTCTGCAGCTCAGGCTCTTTGCAGACCAAGCTGCTCACTGCTGTGCATAAAACGTCTTTTAACTGGGAATAATCACATTTGCAAAGCCTTAACAACAGGGGACATTTGGGGCTTTAGTCCGCGGTAAGGTGGCACTGATTGCAACATTGGCAAAATTTATTTCAACTCTTTGATGCATGATCAGGCAAAAATGCTTAAAATCTCATGCTGTGATGAAAATGCACATGTATTGTGTTCCAAGTATTCTCCCCCCTCATTCATTATGTATCTCAACATTTTTCAAAATTGATATTTTTTCCTCAACTAATGCTAATCTGCTGGTATTTAGTCCGTTATTTCATCTCACGTCAAACGTCATCATCTGTCATCTGATTTTTTTTTTTTTTCTGACTCACACCCATGGCTCCACTCAAGAAGGAAATGAGGAGCAATAAAAGACTGGAGTGCTTGAGATCCCATTTTAGACACACTGGATTTGTTGTTTTGGTTACAGCGAAAGCAAAATAAAAATTCAAAAGCAGGATCACATGAAACACACAAATGTTTCATTGCAGCACATGAGCATGCAAGATCTCTTTAAGGATGCAGGAGCGTTCTATCACATGCACAGACACAGCTGTTGCCTGGGAAGTCTGGAGGATGGAGGGGGCTAACACATCTCCTATGTGTGTGTGTGTGTGTGTGTGTGTGTGTGTGTGCATCGCTGAAGTCTCCAACAGTAACGCTGATCTATCTGTTGCCATGGCGACATATGTAAGCAGCTTGACTGGCCAATAAGCTGCTTGGATCTAAAGGGGGAAAGTGGCTTTAAAGCGCATATATGCGGTGCAGTACATAGAGTGTGTATGTGTGTGTGTAGCAGGTGTTCAGATATAAAGCATTAGGTGCATTAATTGTTGGTTTAATGCGCATTTACACAAAAGTTAATCCACTTGAAAATGCTGTGGGATTCATATAAGTCGGTACCACGTCACCAAATGCCACAGTTTGTGTTATTCATTTGTATACGTGCCCACTCACACACTCTTACCCTTTCATGGTGCTCTATGAGGATCTCCACGACTATGTTCTGGAACTTGATGTCCATGATGGCTGCCACCGTCTCCTCCTGGGGGCGCAGCAGAGTCGGCCCGAAGACCACACCCAGATTAGCGATGGTCATAAGGTTGTGCTGGTGGTGACTGGCCACACTGTTGAGGGGGTTAGACGGAGAGAGAGAGAGACAGAGAGAGAGAGAGACAAAGAGAGTGAGAGTTGGTGGCAGCACATTAAATCCAAAAACCCGCTGCATCTTTAATGTTTGAAATTAGTTTCACTGCTCTTGTCAAGCAACAGGGAGGAAAAAGCGCTAATAAACTAGCTGGTGAACACAGTCAAGCATTTATCAGCAAAAGTATTTATCAGAGGAGTTGGACACTCAATGGAGTCGCCCCAAACAAGCCTTTAAAAGAATGCTAATGTTGCTCTGCCATATGTAGCAGAGCTAATAATATATCAGCGGTGTGTTTACAGCTAGGTCTCCTTTTTCATTTACTACTCAACTATCTGTGCCACCCCTTATATTTACAACCAAGAGCAATGCTACCAATGTCTCCCTGGAGAGAGAGACAACCCCCCCAAGTCATCAAACCTATAATCCAGTGATGATGATGATGATGACCGTAGGCAGGTGTAATCCACTAAGCCCAGGTAAAGGTTCTCAAAGTACCTGCATTTGTATTCGCCTACATGTTGTATAAACATGGCCGACAGCCCATTCGTCACACATTATATCATGCTGCTGCTGTTGAAGAAAAGCCTGATAAAGCCAGAGGGCTTAGATGTGGGTTTAGAGTGAAAGCACAATGCCAGTTGGCTGCATTAGAGGAATTATTACACATAAGCCAACAGTGTCATGCTCTGCTTTTTTTTTTTTTTTAAACTTAAGGGTTGCTGCAGCTTGTGGCTATCTAATATACATAGAGTCAACCTGTTTGATTCTGTGCAATATTTTGATGCCAAAAAACAGAGGCAGAGGTGGGATTTGAAGCCCCGGGGGAAAGAAAAGGAGGAGTCCGTTGTTAGGGAATGGACTGTGTGAGAAAAAAGAGATTGCTCCTGTGGCCTTACAACAGGTTTCTGGAACCTAATCGTCTGGAGTGCTCATCAGCATCAGCCCTGCTGAAAGGTCCTTGAGCAAAACAGTGAATTCCAATCAGCTCAAAGGGTAAGCAGCATCCTATTATCTCCTAGAGAAGCAGTGATTTTGTGATTTGCAGGTCAGTGAATATCTAGAAACATATGTAAAAACCTAGGTCAAATTGCATCGGATTGATGTATAGTCACGTAACTTAACTAACTTAATGAAAAACACTGACTTTCAGCTAGCTTTACCCAAGACATCTTTTTTCACCTGCAAATCACCAAGCTAGTCCTCCCTCACTAGGCCTGTAATCATGGCAGCTCCTACATTTCCTGGCCTCCAGACAAAGACCTGCACCTGACCACCACTAACCTCTCTTTCTCTTCAAGGGAAAAGTCGAGAAAATAGATTTGATCTAGTGGCTGCTTCTATTTCCAGTACACACTGCCTTAATGCATGTGGTCAAGAGATTACACGGAGCACTAATTCTTTCTGCAGAAGGACAACAACAGAAATCAAGCTAAGGAGCATTTTACAGCAGGGTGAGAGGAGAGGAGAGGAGAGGAGAGGAGAGGAGAGATTCATTGCTGCTATAAACACTACATAGTAAAAACTCAAATTGAATACTATGCACCCTCCTAAGTGCACAGTGTTTGATAGAGCAAAAATAACAATGGTATCTGTGTCCAAGTGTGTGTGATATCGCCACCTACTTGGCCAGATGTTTCATCAGCAGCTCCAGCATCTGTCTGTTCTTCTCAGGTAGTCGATGCACCAGAGCATGAATCTCTGTCACCCTGGCCTCTGGGTTGTCCAGTTCTGGTCAGAGACAGACAGAAAAGACAGGAAGTGAGACCGTCATTGAAGAAGTAAAGACTTGAGCAAATCACAGTTGATTTTTTTTTTTTACATATACATGGACAGGTAAACTGAAATGTCTATTTATTCTGCTTTTATTCTTGTTGTTACAAAGATGTTATATATTGCAGCAAGTTATCATTGTACAGCCAGACATTTGTCAGACCTTGGTGCAGAGAGATACTATATGTCATACTTTGTAAGAATGAGCAAAGAATAGTGTACAAGGACTACTAGTAAAAAAAAAAACAGCTTCGTCCAGATTTTCTCATATTGAGTGGATCTATTATGCAGAGATCTCCATAGCTGTAGTACATGTATTAGAGTAATTACTAAAAGTATAAAGGTTGGTATTATTCTACATTTTTCTCATTGCCATGAAATCTCCTGTGCTGATGCTGCTAACGTGTGTATTGTCAGCGTAGCTAAAGCCCGATGGAGCTTATTCCTGTGGACACTGTATTTTATTTTTAGTCAGTTCCGCAAAGACCATCCTGCTCCCCAAAAATACTCACTAGAGATCTAAATGTGTATTAATCCACGACTGAAAATAGTCCCCAACAAATATTTACACACCTGTTTAAATGGAATTTGTTAAAAACGAAAATGTTTTTTTTTTTTTTTAAATGAAACTATTTGTTTGTGACCTGTTTTAGTCTTCAGCGGGAACCAATGACCTCTTGGCTGATTAACATAGACAGGAAGTGTGAAGGTTCAGAGACAGAATAAGGCATTCTTTCTTGTGGTCAGAAAAATATAACATCAGCTTTGTGCTTGGATGTGAATAACACTACAAAGTCATTTTAAAACACTCCTAATATAGACTTCAGGAGTTTTTATTTTGATACAGAGAGGGATGCATAGCGCACAAAAGATAGGCAGAGTGATGGAGTCTGAGACAAATAAACAAGTGGCTTGCTTAGTCACTGAGTGTTTAAATCTGCTGCAGAGTGGAGAAGCTCTGTGTCCTGGTGACGAACAGGTAGACAGGCGGGGGGGTGGACAGACAGGCAAGCAGAGAGACCTGTTGTTGATGAATGACTATAATAAGTCACGATCGCAAAGCCAGTCGATAGAGAGATGACAGCAGACTCACACTAGATCAACCCTCGGGGCCTGGCTGTCAGCGCCAGGCAATACTCTCACAACTAGCAGAGCATCTTAAACACAGGCATAGGCACACGCGCACACACACACACACACACGTTCTTACCAAGTAACAGGGCTGACAAGCTCCAACATACACATACCAAAACATACATATACATATATATAGTAAATACAGACCAGCAGACCAGCGCATGAAAACAGCTCCATTCATTCTTCCCCGCATCATCCCCTCTAATGCATTCTCCGGTGTCCACGGCTTCACACACATTATGCTGAAGCACACGCTCTTCTCTTCCTTCAGACTGCAACTGAAAACTGAGGTGCAAACACCCACAGGCTGTGCGTGCAATGTATGAAAAATTATCAAGCTTCCAGAAGACAAAATTTATTACTATTGAAAATGTATTAATTCGATCCAAGAGCAATTTTAAAGCAGAAGAGTTGATATGACTGACAGACAACCAGAATTACAGACGGAGAGAAATTCAGCCAGTCACATACTTTGGCAAGGTCCTGGTCTTTGTTTTATTGTTTGGCTTTCTTTACGACTATGCCTCAACTGCACATCACATCTAATTTCATCTAATGATCAAAAGAAATCATTTTAAATCATTCGTGATGAAAAAAACAAGAACATTTGTTCTATTTTACCAGACTTAATTTACTACGGGCACACACACATGCAAATACTGTTAATACACACCAGCCACTGTGGTGTCACAAACCAAAGAAAACAAACATGCACAAATCACAGTCTGAGAGGCAGTGTAACGCTGTGGTCAGTAGCTTTGGTGCTGAGTCAAAAGTGATTACAACAAGCAGAAGGCATTTATCATCACAGCTTCCACCTCACCCAACACGTCACAGACGACAACCTTTTTTTAACCTTGAATTTTGGCCCTTTTGACTAAATAAATAAATAAATGAACTATAGATTCTTTTTTTTATTTTATTTTTTTTATTTTATCTTTCATTATTGGGGTGTATGCATCTGAATACAGTCCTGCCTTAAATCGTGGAAAATTATTCGTTCAGGTGGGCGGCGAGTGGATTATTCATGCATACATGAGGATTCGGATGACATCAGAGCCGATCCGCGCATCACTACTGCACACAACAATATCGCATTAGAATTCATGCGCATCCTCCCTCCTTGTCATACAAGCATGTTTTTGGTGATGATTTCAGAGCTGTTCTTTGGGTTAATATTCACTTAGCACTACCTAACCCAGGTTAAAGCTCCATAATGACTTTTGCCAGCTCTCTTGTTATGAAGTTAATTGGGCTAAGAGTGTCACCAGTTTTACAAAACACAAAACTTTTTCACAAAACATCTGACTGTTGACCTGAATTCAGATGTAAAAGCGTAGATTTGCGTAAGATACCACCTTTCTTACAGCTCCTGCTGACAGAGTTAAGACCGAGAAAACAAGTCTGTGTCCGACTTCATCAAAAATTTAATTTGTGCATCTCTTAAGTGAGAAGGGATTTTGATTATGTATGGAGTACATACTTTTACAATCAAAGTCGGGAAAGCAAACACGTACACACCCATATATAGTAAATGAAGCATGCTCGCCACATCTGCTGGCCATCAGCTGATCCTCAACAAACTCCAGCAACCACCACCTGTTCTACTTTCTTGCCATTCATTATTTATACTTGACATCTCCTGGCCTGTGCAGTGCGTGCAGTGTATCCTATATTTCAACGCTGCCTGGATTCATATTGGGGCGGGATACACAAGACAGAACAAACTGTACAAATACGAAACATCTACAGTTTTAACAAGGCAACTTTTTTTTTGGTGTGGTCTTGAAGGGCTGTCTGGTAGTGACGGAATCACCCAATTTTGCAGTACTCCTCTGCTCTGAAGGGCGTTTTGGCATCTTTCGGCCCTTCCATTTTGGTTTTACGGGTGTCACGGTGAATGTTTATTGTCCACGCCATTTATTTCAGTCACAGGCATTCGCAGTTTATGGGTTGAGTGTCAGAAATAAACAAACAACATGTATCCGTCTTTGCCTTCGTTTCTATTTTTTTTCCCAGAACAAAAGCATGGACGACAAGTAAAATCTCCACTTCCCTGTTTCGTGCGTTCTTGTTCACGTGAAGCTGAAAGACGCGCTGGGAGCTGCCGAACCAACACTTGCCGAAATGATCAGAATTATTATTCAGATGAGAAAGCTCTTGTATGAGCGTTGTTTTAGGCGCAGGCTGAAATTACACCACCTGGCTCGCAAACAATATGACACTGCCTGCGTTCACTCATGCACACAAAGCGCTCTAAATTATTGACTACAGTGTTTCCCATTGATAGGCGCGACGCCAACAGGTTTGGTGTTAAGTGGAGGGATGTTACTTTTGGCGAAGCTTCGAACTCTTAATGTTCTGTTGCTTGCAATCTCCTGTGTTCTGTGTGCCACGGTACATGTACTGGTAAACGTTTCGTTTTAAGAGGTTGATGTCCGTTGACCCTTTGCACCTGACTGACGCTGACAACGCTTCTCCTCTTTGTCTGGAAAGTTGTGTCAGTCGTTACAGCGGAAGCAGAGAAGATCCAGAGCAGGTTACAAGAAGGACAACGCGGCGATGCACGAAGGAAAACAATTGTCATCGTCACAAGAAAACACAGCAAGAGGCGAGATGGAGCGTGAGACCAACAGGCAGGTCACTGCAGTATCAGCAACGATGTGGGTGTAGCAGCAGACGACTGTGGTCAAAACAGAGCTAAGCATGAAGGCGATGCTTTCGATTTACCGGTTTGTCTGCATACCAACCCTCATCCAAGGTCCTCAGCTTTGGATAGCGACCAAAAGAATGAGATTGTGTTTACAAGATACACAAAAAAAAAAAAAAGTTTCCTTACAAAGGGTGTAACATTAAGAAAAGGGTGAAGAATTCACACGTCTGAAAGCTCTGGCAGTCGAACCACTGCTTCTTTGTGTTACAGAGACATTGGCTGAGGTGGTTCAGGCCCCTGATTAGGATGCTGCCTGCAGGCCTGTCTGCGGAGATATTCCACACGTATCCGACCGGTAGGAGACCCTGGGTGACGATTAGTGAGAAGGGCATCTGTGCTACTTTGTGTAAGGCCAGAGTATACTTGAAACTAACCGGTGTCAAGGCAAACGTCCTTATACCTGTTCCATATGTTCAAACTCAAAGGAAGGTTGAAAACCTGCCATCGTAGAGAAAGGCAGAACAAAGTGAATCATACAAATGGGGATAACGCTGCAAACTATCAGACGGTCTGCACTCTATTAGACAATATGAAAAAGAAAAAGAAAAAAAAAAAAAAAAAAAGCCTTAAAATCCTACATACTTTCTCAGTTACGCATTACTAACCCAGTCACTGAATGAAGTGGATTTCTTGGCAGATTATCGGTTTCATAAACCTCGCGTCAGTGAAAACAGCAAGAGGATAAAATTTTGAAAAGAGCTCTCCTGATCCATCTTCACTTTGAAGAGCAAGCGGGATATTTATCCTGAAATCTTCCATCTGATCACTTTTCCTTCAGAGGAGAGACACGGGAGGGCCATGTCACCATCTTAAAGTTTGACCTCACACACTAAAGTGCTGAGTCCCACCTTGTGCAATTAGTTCTGCTGTTAAACTTGCGATTGTGATATCTGTATCATCTATGGAGCAAGCAGCAAAAAAAAAAATCACTCCATTGGGAATTATAGGTCGACCCTTGACAACTCGTCTGCTTCAAAAGAAGGGCAGCATCCTTTAAAGTCTGGTGAAATATGTGCCACTCAGGTTAGACTCTGTTAAACTGTATATTAACTTTTGATTAAGCTCAATTTGTTTTCACCACAATATCCTCTCTCATCTTTTTAACTCTTTCTTTAATGTGCTAGGTGATAAAGCAAAAACTGAAAAAAAAAGGGTGAAGGTAAGTAAAGTTTGGTTCAGCGTCTTTACGAGAAACCTTGCAGAGTGCAAGATTAAGTCGAGTTGAAGGACTACAGGCAATTACATGTGAAAATAAGTGTAAATGTTAGATAGGAGATAAGAGTAAGAAAGAGAGAGAATCAATGGGGACGTATGAGGTAAAAAATTAATTCATGAGGGGATATTGAAAGCAAAACTAATGACTTAAGACAGAGTAATTACTGTATGTTTGTTTTCTTGTTGCCACATGCCTCAAATCCAGGTGGCACCATTTTCCCTGCCTCCCTCCCTCCTCTTACTACCCTTTCTCATCTTTCCCTCTCTTACCCTCCCCGTTTTTCCACTCCATTTCCTCCTTTTTTCTACTTCCTCCGCCTCTGCTCTCTGTTAAAACCAGCTATTTAAAAAAAACCAGAGCAGCACGGGACGGGAGAGAGTAAGCCGAGATGAAACTGGAGGAGGAGCAGGAAGATGAGATATTTAAGGGGAGTGATGGGAGGAGCTGGAAAGGATACGTGAAAGAGAGGAGGAGGAGAGAGAGGAGGAGCTGAAAGAGGGAGTTCAAGTGAGGACACTGTCCTCAAAACACCTCACTGCCTCTGTAAAATTCTGCCTTGTAAAATAAAATTAAAAAAAATACTAAAGCGCAGTCTCACACGCAGACACGCATTCTTGCACATATGCATTCTCGCACAAGTTCATGACATGCAAAGACACCCGCATAAACAGACACTGATGAATGGCAGGGGGAAAAAGAGAGATTATAAGTTTAACAGAGGGACAGAGCTGAGGAGAGATGAGACATAGAAATTTGTAAAATTACACAAATGGCTGGCAAGCATGTGTTATATTTTATGATTATTACAAAACCATTATAGCATGGGTTGTCCAAGTTGGTATCAAACCAGCTACCTTGGCACTCTTAACTGACAAACACACACACACACACACACACACACACACTAACACACATTTTCTCCTTTTTCTGTCCAGTTGGCCTCACTATGGAGCCATTTTTCTTGGTAGTGTTGCCAGAGACACGCGGTCATTTCCTGCAGTTCCTTCCCCTGTCAGCTCAGCCTTCATAGAGGCTTAGCTACTGGCAAACAAAGAAAACAGGTCACTGACACATCCTGTCAGACTAGACTGGACTGGATTGAACTAAACTGCACCTGAACTTGTCAGAATAAACCGAATCTTCAAACATTTCGTAAAAAAAGAAGATACAGTAGCAACACAGACATGGACAAAACTCAACTAAACCTGTGTAGATCAAACCAGGCCAGACAACAACACCAAGATGTAGAAAAACTATTCATGCAAAGTCTTTACTGCAAAAAAAAACAAAAAAAAACAGCTAGTGCTTGCAAAAGTTTATTTTGTTGCCTAGGAGCCACATGAGAGGAATCTAATACACTGAGATTATTGCAGTTGGACAGTTTAGGCAATCCATCTTGAAGTCAGCTGAATGTGAATTATTATGAAATTATTTATCCCGAATCAATACGCCCCACCCATCAGGTGCTGGTGCAACATAAGGGGAACATTTCTGCAGCTGCTTTCTGACCCAGCAAACCACAAAAAGCTAAGCTTTTACTAGGCTGCCACTTTTAGATCAGCTCCCCAGGCTTTTCCTCTTCATGTGGAATTTGAATCTATATATCGTATGAAAACTGTACAGACACAGCAGGTCGGTAACGAACTGTGCGCCTCGCACAACATAAAGAAGCACAGTCGGGGGGCTCGTTTGCCAGACCAAACAGACCCAGTGGTACAGTGGGTCTGCTGGTATCTCAGCAGGTGAACCGTCTATTTGCAAGCGGCAGTTGGTTTAACAGCAAGTCATGACCTCATTCACATGATGATTCATTTGATGCTTTCATTTTCCAAACTTAGCTGGAGGAAGGCTTAAGAGATGTCTTGAAACAGATTCACTGACAGAGGAGACAGAATCTTTGGTTTAAGTATTACAGAAATCATATTTAATCCATTTATAAAGTGTATATGTCAACATGACACGACCCATGAAGGTTTCATCTGAAATCAGCAGCAAACCACAAGGTACCCAAGGATTCTGCTGCTTAACAGTTTGTTGTAAGAATACATAAACCATTAAACCATATGATCTTCTATTTAGTACAGACTGTTTATTCAGTCCAAGGTGGCATTAGAATAGCTGTTTGCCCTGTCTTTATGTGGGTAATCTCAGTGGGAATCAAACAAACCTCAAACTGCAGGAGAGAGTTCGCCTTGTGTTCTGCCAACTAGACTCACATTGAAGAGGCAAATAAGACACATGAAAGCAGAATACTCACTGGCAGCTTTGATGAAGCTCCTCTGGTACTGGTATGTCATGAGAGGGGCGGGCAGCACTCTGCAAACACAGGAGACGGAGACATAAGGGTGGAGAAAGTCGGGTTAGAAGACGGAACAAGAGTTTGGATTTGGCTGCTTTGCAGAAATGAATCGATCTGAATGGTTCTGAAGGAGCACTTTTTTCTCCCTCCAGGTGACCTGAGGTCCTAATGCCGTGAGAGTGTTTGTGTGCTGTTTGCGGACGTCAATCTGTCCATTTATGTGCCAAAGAAGTGGCTCTGTGTGTGTACCATACGCACGTGAATGTGTCTACATGTGAACGTTTGTGAACCTGTGAGTAGTGTAGATTCATTCAGTTACAGCGGACTGAGCACAGCTTGAACACCCACACTCCCCTCTTTCCTCCCTTCATGCGTTTCTCAATTCCACTGAGCCGCCTGTTCCCGGCCTGCCGCAATCCTCCTTCCCTCATTACCAACTGTTGAGATGCTCTTGAGGAAGTAATTTAAATGTCAGCTGCTATACAGTGGCCAAGCAGGTAAGAGAAGTGATTGTGACATTGATCATAAGTGCAACACTGCTGGAGCAATACATCTCTGCTGAGAACAACTCCTCTATGGGTAAATGAAAGTTTCAAAAAATAAATAAAACAAGCAAATACATTAAATACTGTATGGAATAAATGGGAAAATTAACAATCCACACCAGAGATGTGCTTTATACTGCACAAACACTCTAACACTCAAACACTTAATATTTGAATAATGAAACAATTTAATGACAGTTTGGCTGTTTTTAGAACTACAGAACTATGTAGAGCACAGCTGTTTCACAGGATTTTCTTTTGTTTGAGCCTTTTCACACAAACCTGAGATAATGCTTGATAGCGCTCGTGATCGTCTTTATTTCCCACTCTGGGTTTTCCAGCTCCACGTCAGCACATGTCTTAGGATCTGATGGACGGAAAATGAAGATAATAAAATTAAAGAAGAGAAAACGGATTTTATTTGCAGTTTTGCCTAAATGTGTGTGTTCCATGCGTCTTTACCCATAGCCTGGCTCAGTAGTTTTTGTACTCTGGAGTTGACGCCAACAATTCTGTACAAGCCCTGTTCATTAATACCTGGAAGATTAAGGGGAAGAGGAAAAGGAAGAGGGACAGGAGAGGAGAGGAGAGGAGAGGAGAGGAGAGGAGAGGAGAGTGAATTCATCCACTTATATAGAATCTAAATGATGCTTTTTATGAGGGCCAAGAACCGGTCAGCAGGTTTACTGTAATGCCAAATTAGTTTAATACAATTCGGGTCATTTTAGCATTTACATTTGCCTTAATATTACATTTATTAACACTCATTGTTTTGGAGCCACTTTTCTTTTCATACACGCCCCTCATGTAAAGAATAATCCGGGCACCTGAGAAAACGAGGCCATCATTACATACAATTTAAATGTAAATGTGTATGCCAAACAAGAGTGTGTAGTAATGAACCCTTCTTGGTGCAGCCGATGAAGGGGAAAAGGTAATGTTATCGCCCATGTGGACAATTACTGTGACATTTTAGATGCATCAGAAGACAACACGCTCAGAAGGCGGAGGCTTCAGATCCTGCAGACGACCTTTGACGCCTGTCATTTCAAACCACCCTCTACCAGCTGTTTGTGTGGAACATGGTAGTGAGCTTGTATCACGCATTATGTATTTAATTATTCACCCTTTAAAAGACTCTGGTGATTTAATACATTATCTCTTTTATCAGAAATAAATACAAACTGTACATACTATAATCTCCATAGCTGTTTAACTGACATTGTTACAGTCAACATTGTGTCTGATGTGCATCTTTTATTCACTCCCAACATGCTCCTGTTGGGGCATTATCTCTATGTTCTTTTTTTTTCATTACAGCAGTTTTGTGATTGAGTAGAATTAATTTTTTCTATAATCAGCTCACTGCTAACCAAGCTAGCCACTGTAAACGACTAGCTGCAGATAATGTTACTTACTGGGAGAACTACTGCGTATTTTAGCCTTTTTACATTTACTTGATGAATTATTTTGTCGTACTTCCGATGAGAACTTTGTGTTGATCTTTCACCGGTGATGCTTCGTATCCTCCCGAAACTCAATGTGAATAATGCGACGGATAATAAGTCGATAATATTGTGAGTCCAGTTCCCTTGTTACCGTACTTAATTATCTTTTTGTCAAACAATTATTTATGGAATCTCAGTGTTCTCTACTACTGATTTTGTCCACTGCTGTTCTAATACATTTCACATCTGCCTCCAGTAGAAACCTCAAAGGCAATCCTTTAGCCATTATTGGAAGTGTGTTTAGCTCTCTGCGTGGCTGTGTACCTACACACATAACATATACTGTATACATACTGTATCTATGGTAGCATTACATAAACATTTTTTTTCAGTTTACTGTGTACTGTATATAATTTGATGTGATTTTATGCTAGCCTATCATGCTTTATGTCTCCCTATGCTCCCTTAATGAGATCACTACAGTCATGGAAATATGATTTAATCTGACAATGAATCCATGTCATTGCACTGTACTTCTGTCGACATAACTCATGGTTGGTATTAATATAAACTCCATTTTTCAGTTATGAAGGATTTAGATTAGTTATGTTTTATAAGTTCCAGAGCTGAGGAGCCTTGACTGCAAAAGACCAGTCCTCTGTAGTCTTAAATCAGAACTTAGGAACAGCCAGAGGGGCCCAGCATGAGGATCCGAGGCAGTGCTCTGGCTTGTAGGGGAGCAATAACTCACTAATATAAGTGGGAGCTAAACCGTAAACTGCTTAAATGGTAATCAGTAAAGTCTTAAAATTCTTAAAAACTGACTGGTGCAGAGAGGCTCAAACAGGAGTGAGACGATCTTGTGTTTTAGTATTCGCTGAAAGCCGAGCAGCTGCGTTTTGTGCGTGCTGAAGGCATCGGGTTTGTTTTTTCGGCTAAACCGTGAATACAACAAAGTACAATAATCTAACCGAGACGACACAAAAGCATATGTACCCTTCTCGAGATCAAGTCGAGAGAGGCAAGAAGATGATTTTTGAGATGCTGCTCATTGTAATGAAAATATGACTGAACAACTTGTTTTTCACACTTGAGGTCACTGTCAAATATTACATCCAGATTTCTGGTTGCAGGTTGTAGATGGGGGAGCCAAGATGTTTTTGTAAATTCTGTGTGAACTTTGAAGGACCAAAAAGAACCATCTCTGATTTTTTTTATTTCACATTTAGATGGAGAGTTTTGGGACACCTAGGATTTTATTTTGAGACTCGCAAAATAGTAAATTATGGAATTTGGCCTCTTCACGAGTCTTTAATGGGACATACATTTGCGTGACATGAATGACTGAATTTTATGTTTGTTTATATATTGTACTTATTACGACACAGTGCTCCAAAATCAGACCTTTTCTTAAGGTTGGGCTTCTGGTGGAAAAACTTTGCTCTTGACTTCCTCTGCTCACAGATTCTGTCTACATTACAGCGTATCAAACTAATGAAGCAAGAAATCCACAGAGTCTGAGTTAACATCGTACCTCGAGTCTCCACAGCATAGATGAATTTTTTCATCACGTTGAACCCAATGACATCCAGCTGGGCCACTGAGGGGAGAGGGAGACGAGCAGAATGAGTGTGAGCCATCACAGTGAAATGAGTCACGGTCAGAAGAAAAATGATTTTCAATTTACATAAAACAGAACGCATAACAGGATGACGATGTATTTGAAAATGGTAACACGACAAAATTGAAATAATGTGCACACACATCTTTTAGAGATACTGAATTATTCCCTGGGCCACAAAGAAATAGACATACAGAGCATTCAGAATACTCTTTATATAAATCTAACCCTAACGCTGCCAACACAGACAGACTGATAGAAATGATGAATAATACTGCACATTTATCTGAACAGTTAATGAATCTCACTTAAAGCTACTTACTGCCTTCAGCCTGGTTGTCTTTGTTCAGATTGTACACCTGCAAATAGAAAACACACAAACTCCTTCAGCGTGTTTACAACTAAGCCTAATGGCAGGACAAGACAGGATAGGAATTACTCATACATTACATTACACTTAAAACAATACACGCATTTTATGCCGCTTGTGCTATTTTTCTACATCTGCCTATGAGGCTTTGAATGCTTGCTATTAAATGCTGCTTGTTCCACTTCCACACGTTTTTCACATGAAAGCAATAGTAAACTGAATATAACATACTGCAGAAATTACAGTCGATATGAAGTGGACGGTGTACGATTGCGTGTGTTAGCGCTCAGATCCGCCCTGTTCTTCTGAAAGGCTGCATTGTGTGGCTGCGGTGAGTGGGGAGTTTTCATTGACTATCTGTGCAAAGGTGGAGAGTCCAGCCCACAGAACACAGAAACAATGCGAGGTGGGCAAGATCCGAAGAGTTGAAAAAGGAGCATCAGCATCTCTTGCTTTTATTACGGATCATCGGAGGAGCCGCTGCTTGTCCGAGCCTGCGGTGGGTTTATGGACACCGATTACCTTTGCATGTTCGAACGTAGACATGAGGATGAGGGAGGTGTCTGGACATGAACGCAGGTAAATGAGAGGGTGGAAAGCAGCTCTAACATACACTTGCAGCCTCAGGGTGAAAGAGCTGTAGATTAAGCAGTGTTGGGGAGACTGGCTGTCAGTCAACTGTCCAATTAGGAACATAAACACTGAAATTATCTATGGGATAAAGGCTCTATACGAGTGCCTCCAAAACCTTTTCGGCTTATGACCCTCATCCTCCTCCTCCTCCTCTACATGACACTATGTCTATCTGTGACCCCCCTCACTGCTGATTGTGTAGTGTGTGTCAACAGGTTGTGAGCAGCTCCGCCTGACATTGATTTTCCCTTCTAACCCTCTAAGATTGCTTCATTGTTAGAGGCTTAAAGTAGCTAAATTACCCAGTGTTTCACAAGAAAGACATTAGGGAAAAACGGTTGTGTTTATCCTCCTTTCCCAATCCCATTCATCATGTTGTGTCTTCTCAGATTTATCTTGAGACTCCTTTAAGGAGCCGCTGATTGGAAACCGTTGCTCTATGTTAGCAGGTGACAAACTGTATGTACTGAGGGAAAGCTGCTGAGGTATGACCAAATGCTACAAAATTACTTTTTAATGTTTTGTTCAGCAGACAGGTTTTCCCTCTCTGTCATTCACTCTCGTTGTTTTTGTCATATCAGAGCGAACCGGTAACCGTGGTAACCTACCGGTTCTCTCCCATCCATGGCTTCCATCCACAACCTGCGGTCTTCTTCCGACAGAGCCTGCATGGTGATCACTCCCGGCCTTCACACCCACACACACACGCACACACACGCACACACACGCACACACACGCACACACACGCACACACACACACGCACACAAAAGCAACATAGGCTTATCAAATATCAAGGCCAGTGGCAAACACTGTCCGTTAAAATGCAAATACATTCAGCTGTAATCATAACATCACACTTTAAACAAAGAGCTACTACTTCTGGAGTTTAATCTGCCCAGTATCAAAAGTAAAAACACACTTGATAGAAAAGATGTCATTTAAAAATCTCGTTGTCCTTCCTCAGACGAACAGAGTTGTGTGAAAGGAACTCAGCATGCAAATCTCACACTTATTCAAGAGCAAAGCATATTCATTTATGGGTGCCTGAGGTATGACTACAGTATCACTTTCCTGTAAAAAAAAAAAAAAAGATCAACAGTTTTTTCTCCATAAAAGGATGTAAAGAGGACAAAGAACTTTAACTATAAATTCACAAAGAATCTAATAAGGATTTGTTCATGTAAGCAACTGAGACTAAGATCCAGTCTTCCAAGTGCACACACATAGAGGTAACCACAGACACACACGCACACACATACATACACACACAGCCTCATTAGTCATGTCCTTCTATTGGTTTTCAATCGGTCCTTGTACGGTTTGTCGACGGCACAACACTCACCTTCAGCCGTCACCGGCACAGCACCACAACCCCCTCCGCACACACCTGACTACACAGTGTCTTTCAATCACGGAATACCATCAGCAGGCAACCACACTTGTAGAGGACACACTCAGATGCATGTGTACAGTCACACTCTGTACACACACACACATGCAAAGCAACACAAATGTTTACAGATAAATGGCTCGATCACATGTGTTTAACCCGCCTTTAGAGGAAGTGTCTTGGACAAAGAAACACACACCAACAAATGCACGCGCGCGCGCACACACACACACACACACACACACACACACACACACACACACACTCTTAATATGGATAAAAGGAAACAAAAGGATGAGATGATGACATGGTGAGCTGATTTGATCGGGAGAGGTTGAAGTTGAGGGAGAGCAGGCAAAGATGGGGGGGGGAGATGGAGGAGGAGGAGGAGGAGGAGGAGGAGGAGGAGGAGGAGGAGGAGGAGTGTTGGAAGCAGAGCACCGCAGGTGGCCAAGCCTGAGAGGACAAACTGCCACAATCTCCTGTCTTCAGGTTCAAGTCAACGGAGCAGCACCCTCATGTGTATCTTACCTGTAATTACACAATGTAAAACACCTCATGCCAGTCAATATTGCTGTCATTTGTTACATGAGGAAGACAGCGTTCACACTGGTGTGGAATTCCATGATGCTTCCATGATTTTCTATAACAAACTCCTGGCATACTTTTGTCTTTGTTGCCATTATAGTTGTTTGGTTGCTAGGACAAAATCTCCTGAAAACCACTATCCAATGTACTATATGTGTGACAAAAGCTAGGAAAATATTCATTCGTGCTAAATACCCTATTTTTGAAGTTACTATATATCCTTAAAACTACAGGAAAGCGTGGCTCCTTTGGGCAGATGAAGACACAATACGATGTGTCATCTTGATGAGAGATAAAGTAAGAAAACGTGAGAAGGAACCAGTTGGAGGTGGGTCAAAGGAAGATTGTGTGGCAAGTCCATATGAACAAGAGACGTATGCAGTCAAACCGCACACTCACTGACCTGTCCACAGCCTCCACATCGAAACAGAACCTCTTTTCTATCGAGTCCGTCTTCCTCCTGGTGCACGACTTGAGCATGAAGCTGTCTTCTTCTCCCTGACAAAGAATTAGAGAGGAAAAAAGGAAGAGGGTATATTAGTAGCAGTTTGATACATACAGAATCCTGAACCCGAACATCATGGACGACATTAGAAATGGCAATCACGGTTTTTCTAGTCGAAGAACTCAGAAGTTTTTAGAGTGAACTGTGTTTTTCTAATAATAATGTTATAATAAGGACAAAAAGATCAACTGAAGCTACAGACAGTATTTCCAACTTGCTTCACTTCCAATTGGAACCACATTGAGATAATTTTGGATGAACACTTGCAGTGCGAGATGGGCAACGACGCATATTTCTGCAGGGACTAGAGAACAAGAAAATATGTATAAATAGGAACTAAGAAAAGGTTCAGAACAGACTGAACCAGTCAGAAGTTCAGGTACAAAAGAGAGATGTACTTTAATCTTTTCTTTATTTATGTGTCAATTGTAGTAATGTTTGTAGCAGCAATATAAAAGGGGTATAATCAAGTTGTGTTGTAATGTTATGTTAACTTCAACACATCCACATGGACGATTCAGGTAGTGCCTCTGGTTTGTATTTACTGAGTTTTATATGTGAAGCAGGAAATACTTCATAAAATTCTAAGAAGAGAGAAGAAGCCAATGTATAAAACAATTGTAGTAAGATGAAGAAGCCATAGACTGAAAGCATGTTGGCAACAGCTGATCTGAACTTCTGAACTTCACTTTTGACAACTCAGCACACAGTATATAACACAGTATTTTCATCCTTCACATAAAAGGGTGGAAATTCTCGGACGCACTTTTATTTTGTGACGTGATAAAGCACCATACTTACACTCCCACCTCATACACATTTAACATGCACGCAAAGCATTTTCGTGCAGTTTCAATTCTCTTCCTATAAAAACACTAAAGCCCCCCTCATCATCTTTACTCTTTATAATCCCTGACTTCTTTTTCTTTTAGTCTAATCCACTGCAGCTGCTCTGGGTCCATTATTTTTTGCTCCGTTCCCTCTGACCTATTTTGTTGTGTTAATACCTTTCTTACCGTGTTGGAGTTAGAAAGCTTTCGGTGATGTTCATGTTTTTCTGCTTTTACTTTAACCCCTCGTTACTGTATCGACGCAGAATGCTGTGACAACTGTCAGAAAACAGGCCTGAACTTGCATCAGCGTTGTTCAGTATGTAGGTGGAGTAAAGAGAGATGGCAGATGAAGTCATGCTGCTTACTCAAATATCGTTTGGCAACACTGCACCCTCATCTATTAAGGCTGCTGCTGTGGGAGAAATTTGTTATCTCTGGCTGCTAAAACCAGTATCTCCCTGTATGACTGTGCGCTGGTGTGAAAATGGTACCGTGTCTCAAAAATGCCCTTTGATTTCATACTGAAGCACTGACGTAAAACTTCACTTTATAGCAGTGGAACACTTTCCTGCTGTCAAAAAAAAAAAAAAACCTAATCGCAGCTGCCCTGGAAATCTCTCACGACAGAATTTAATGTGTTAAGAATAATAAAAATACACCCACAGAGCGAGGGCTCAGCAGTGAGCAGAGTGTGTAAATGAGTGTTGGAGAGTGGCCCAGTGGGATGAACTGGGTGAGAACCAACTGCAAATCAGACAACATGATGGTAGGCCGAAATAGGTGTGAGTGTTTCTGTCTGAGCACGAGGGTGTCTGTGGGTACATGTGCCAAACTTGTGTGCAAGTCTCAAACATATAGATATAGAAAGTCAGGCAGATCGACAGCCTGGGTGTTTAGTGACACTGTGACCTTGTCTGTGTATTTTTAAAGGGCTACTCACCATTTTCCCTCCTGATTTAGGGTCAAACAGTACCATGGTCACCCTCTTGGGCTCGCGATGGTATGTACAGTAGTACTTCACCCAGGTAGATACAAATGAACCTGAGGGGAGGAGAGAAAGAAATGCAGTGAGAGATGGTTTAAACCAAAAACAGCAGAAGAAAGGAATAAAGAGAAAAGAGTTATGTCAAATGGTCAGAAAGCAGAGGCAGTAGGAGGAAACAGGGTTAAACAAAGAGGCCTGCTTTCGTGCTAGACATGTTACCATGGTACCTGCTCGGAGCTGCTGTCACGGCTCCAGCAGATCAGAATTGACTTCATCAGCTGTGGGTTCATTACGGTTTGTTTGTTCTGCAGCTCTGGCAGCGCGTGTGTGGGTGTGTGTTTGTGTGTGTGTGTGTGTGTGTGTGTGTATGTGTGTGTGTGTGTGTGTGTGTGTGTGTGTGTGTGTGTGTGTAAATGTGTGATGTGTGAAAGATAAACAGCACACCACTTACATGAATGTGCTGTACCTAAATATACACACAGACCCGCTCACACAGTCATTCATGTTTCCATGGTTCTGCAACACTGTACATTGTTGCCGAATTGTGTCCTCATTGTAACATGCGCACACACACACACACACACAGAAGTGGGCTGATACATACGCTTCTCCTGTACAAACAGGTATCCTTCCATGGTGTGCTGACTGACACTCTTGTGATCGTGTGGATTCTCCTTCATCTTCCTCATCAGACTCTCCACCTCCGACCGTGTGCTCTCAAAACGGTTCCTCGTCTGTCCGGACACAAGCACAGGGGAAAACACGCCCTCAGGTCTTTCATCGAACGTTCTGGTCCCGCGAAAAGCTCAACTTCCAACAACAGCAGAACTTGACACTTAACCGGTTTCTAACCAGAATATAAAAAAAGCTCATCGCTATAAACCCTAAATATATATATATTTTTCTATTTTCTAATTTTCCTACAAATACAGTGTAACTATACAAGCTCCTTTTGTGTAATGACATCCTGTATGCCCTTTTGGTCTCAAATACTATTCCCATATGACTCTTTGACGGTTTGAACTCCTGTCAGCCTGCAGCTGCTTCACATCTGCAATATTATTTTCTACATTCTTTCAAAAACAGTTTCCGCTGTACTAATGAAGCTGACCCAACTGACCTCAAATCTGTGTGGCCATTCACCTTTCAACATGGAGGTCACATTTCAGGCAAAGCACCCTTCTTTTGAGGTGTACAGATCACTGTTACTCTACAAAAACTGCTTCCTCTAAGCTAGAAGTTAATAAAAACGTGCATTGATGGACAAATACATTATCTGTAGGGACTAAAACATGTTGCTTGAATAGCATAAATGTATATTTATGTGCTGTTCTTAAGGTTATGGTGTGACCTTGTGTTTTGTGTGCGTGACCTTACATTCTGTATGCTGATGGTGAGATCAGTCTTGAAGTGATTGAAGTCCTTTGCCAGCTCATAGCCGTGGTGATAGTAGGTGAACAGGCCTTGGAGAAATGCCAACAGCTGAGGGAAACAAAATGGCAAGAAGGTGAAGGCCGTGAGGGAACAGGACGAAGAGGAGGAAGAGAAGAAGGTAGATGGGGAAGATGGGGAATAAATGCAGATGTGTGAGAAAAGGGAAAAGTATAAGAACATGTAGGAGGACGAAGAGGTTGAGAATTGGGAGGAACTGGGAGAGAGAAAGTGCAGGAGGAGGACACAGTGGAGAAAACACAGGTGGGTTGGTGGGGTGGAGGAGAAAGACAAGGATGTGGAAGATGAAGAACAAGAGGTCAAAGGTCGAGTGGAGAAATTTAGAAGAGGAAGATGGAAAGAAACAGAAGGAGGAGGAGAAGAAGTGAACCAATACATTTCATTCAGCAGATTCATAGATCAAGAAGTTGGGGAATTTGCAGCTATGTATGTGTTGAAAAACAATGAAATACAATGTTGCCAAGCGACAATGAGAAAATTAAATATCTTAAAAAGACAAAACTCAAACAGAAGAAGTGAATTAGACCTACTTTGTATTTTCCTGCAGAGCTAAAAGTCAGGTTTGTGTGGTGTGTGTGTGTGCAACAAATTGTCTTTATTTCCGCCGCAGCTACCACTGAGGTGCCCTCAAGCGAGGCACCAAACCCTCCAAACTGCTGTTCGCCAGCAACAGAAGGCTGATGTTAAAAAAGCAGCTGCTGGGTGTGGATATGTCAAAGTGAGAGAATGTAATACAGACCACAAAAAAAAAAAAAAAAAAAAAAGGCATTTTACAAAAAAAGGAAATGAAAAAAAAAAAAAAAAAAGTGTCATCTTACAGGCTCCACAAAGTCAAACATCTTCCTCTCTTGGACCTCCTGCACCTTGAAGACGTACTCAAGAGAGACCTCGTAGAAATGCTGCCGTACGTTGTCGACCTGGTTGTCTGCCTGCAACGTGGAAGGAAAGTGAGAATACTTGAGGGACTGATATTCATGGCAAAATATGAAACATATGACCAACCCGGGAGGGAGAAAGAAGACAGATGTAAACTCAGACACAACATCTTACTTCATGTAGATGCGACTCTTTCTTCCTTGCTGAAAGGCTAAGATGCTTCTCCAGCACTGCACAATACTTCTCTGTCTCTTTGTCATATTTCTTCTTGGCTTCCTGTAAGAGATCAAAAAAAAAAAAAAAAAGAAGCTTCATCTCAGTGAATTCAACTCCTGTGGGACTTGTTGAGGAACATTAATAAACCAAATATCTAATCTAATGTGAACTAATTTGATCAGTGACTGCCATGTGCAATCAACCATAACCCTCTAGTAGTAGCTGGAAAAAAACAGAGCAGAGAGCGAGGTAACCTTCATTTTTCTTTCAGCTTTTGCATGATATTTTCCATTTGTCAGGGAGTCCAGTTTGAATCTGTTCATCTGGGGAGCACAGCTGCTTATAAAACAACAGACTGCTTCATCAGAGCTGAGGTCACTAACATTAGAGACAGACAGACAGATGGATGGATGATAAACCGGGGACAGATACAGCCGGGTGTGTATTTCTTCAGATCGCTGCATTTAAAAAAATACAGAGAAAAACAGAAAAGTGTCCAAGAGGAAAGAACAAAGGAAACAGATGTTCCTCCTCCGAACATGTTCTATTAGTTGCACAGTAATTATCAGTCACGTTAGGATCATTAAACTCTAACCTAATTCAAACTGATGGAAGGAAAAGATACAGATACCAGTACAAAGAGACAGTGAGGGGAAACAAGAGGAGAGAAGTGAACACATAAACAGAGGAGGGGCAGATCAGGGTGGGTCTCCCTGTGTCAGGGAGGCCCTGGGGTAATATTAACAGTACATCTGCCCCGTCCTGTTAATGTTATTGCATTTCTATATCCAAAACTCATAACTTCAGAAAGAAGCTCAAAAATGGCTAAAAAGTAGTGCAAGATGGGATTTTCTGACACTTAATGATGATGATAATGAAAATAACAGTTTGAATTGCCAGTTAAACCAGTATCCACATTGCTATAAATTGCTGGTCCAGCCCCTTAATCTGTTTTTTGGGAAGCAAAGAGCTCTAAGTTTGCAACGCCTGAAACCAGTGAGCCAAACATCTGTTGATCAATTACATTTTATTTTCATTTAGATTTTACTGGATTTTACTGATGCTGGAATGGGCAATGTGATGAAAGTGCAAGTGGAAACAATAAAATTACTGATGGCTGAATTCCTATCATAAGCAAAAAAAAATAAAAAAAATGTCTGCTGTGAAAAAGCCCTATTGTGGGCAAAGCTGCAAATCAGTGAGCAGCACTGAGGAAATACTGAATTTAGAGAATGCTTTGCAACGGCGATGATCTGTCTTCGTCTGTCATGTATTTAATTCAATTTCACCAATCTTCCTGTCTGGTAATTTCCCACTCTCATTGGGAAGATATTTGCCGAGGAAATAAAATTCCCAGATCAGTGAAAATTCGGAAATAATGTCTCATCAGTCTGCGCTCAGACAAATCCATGATGTCAACCCCTTTTGCCGTCACATGACCCAGGTGTTGCACTGCCAAGCCAGTTTCAACAACAAGTAGAGTCCTTCAGGGCCAGAGGAGGAACAGACAGCAGCTGCAGAACGCATCAGAGATGATGAACATTCTTCTAAACAACAAGGCCTCTGTTTAAAGTCTGCTGCCTCTTTGACTTTGTCAATTCACTATGGAAATCATGCCTGAAGTGACAACTGCTGCAACTCTCTGTGTGTCTCCCACGTCGTGGGTTTCATGACATAATTCTGACTGAAAACACATGAAAAGAAATCAACTGAAAGAAGCTTGATTGTCTGACCTCTTTTATGAAAGGTGTATGTGTGTCTGATTTGTGTGTGTGTGTGTGTGTGTCCGTATATTAATATATATATATATGTATGACACAAATTACACAGTCAGTATAAATGTCAATAACTGCTCCCTTTTTCACCAAATCTCCAATCACCAATGATTTAAAAAAAAAAAAAGAAAGTCACTTTAAAGTCACTTCTATCCTCAGCCAGCAGGTGGCAATGTCTTCACAGTATGTTAACTGACTGATGCTAAAGTAAATGAAATGTTCTGATACAGCGCCATGTCCTAGACTTACTCATGTCAACCACAGTCAAGTTTGACTCCACACTCCACTTCACTGTCATGTCAACAATTACCAGGAAGTGCCACTGAAACATGAAGCCCACCAACACATCACCATCCCCCTGCCTGATTCTGCGTACAGCAGATGGCATGAAACACTTCATTGCATTTTTTTTTTTGTGTGTGTGTTTGTTTTTATATATAGTACCATGGTTCACTAACCGTCAAAGGAATATACTCTACTGTATTATTAACCATGTCCTCAACAGAGGCAGCACCGACTGTGCCTTGCTGGGGTTTAAACTGACTAAAACACTGACGCAGGAATGACCTCACCCAGCCATCAACCTTTAATGTTTGAACCTTAACAACTTGTTACTGTAACATAAATCCATGGGGAAATTACAGACACACAAACTTTACCAGCTAAATGGTCAAATGAAAATACCACGCTACGCTCTAAGCCTGAAAATTGAAAGCAGAGATCAGATGAATTTCACTGATAAAAATCATTACTTTTGCACATTCGTACATCTGTGTTCATTTATGTGACAATGTTTCACGACTGAGCGAAAGTTACATCACAACACCAATTCCTCAAAAAAAAAAAAAAAATCACTGCAGCATTAGATCATCTCAGAGAGTTTATTCTAAGTGTGCCGATTGTGCTTACAGTGAATGTTGAATTTTAAGATAACCCTTGTTTGAGACCTTCTATCTGCAAAGCTTCTTTTGATTAGTGTGAATTCCTAAAACTCCTCTGGTTGTTAGAGGTCTGCCAGCTCTGGAGCCTTTGGGACAAGGTGAAACTGCGCTGGGCGAAGAAGATGTTGTTGGTTCTTTTAGGGCTAAACTGGGATTAGTACATCGCTCATGGTGACCTGACTGTACAGATTATACGTTCACTTCTTAATCTGGCCACCATGTCACAATCAAACGGTGACCTGTTATAAAGGGATGGATTAGCCGGGTATGCGCTGATAACATGTTTAATACCGCACGTATCAGCGGAATCCCGCCGTGGCTACTCATCTAGGTCCTATAGCTAATGACTGCGCAGGGTAAGTGTACCATGACCTACTGTAAGGAGATTACAAACACTCAAACATGGCATATTCACAAAACGGGGCAAGGGATTACCCAGAAAATGTACAGTATAGTACTTATCTTTTAATTTAACAGTGTTGCAGCACTTATTTTGTCGGAAAACAAAAACTGAATCTGAATGAAACTGCATATGTGAGACTCTCTGTGACGCCCTGTCCAATGGAGTCATTTAGTATTGAATATTTTTACAGTGATTCAACAGAGTTGGTCCAAGATAGAGCGATTAAAAAAGGTAATCATCGTCCCTGTTTACCTAGTTGCTTACTTTTTTATGTTCAACGTTTCCATACCTTCCTGTACACTCAGTGGAAGTACAAAAGATTTATACTCACTGAAACACTAAAACAACACCGGCTGCGCTGTGAGGGAGTCCTGTTGGCCTCTGAGACCCCCCAGTGGTGAGCAGTGATTTATGGCGGGATTATGTATTCCTCTAATCTCCTATCCAGGTCATGTAGCGACGGCACAGACCTTGACACATAGACACTCGGTATGGGTGCGACACATGTATATGTTGTTTATAGTATAGCCTTTTATTTCAAGCTGGTCTTAAAAGGACAAAATGCCATATCATGGCATTGCTTTCAGTTTCCAAGATATTGTACTTGATATACTTGTACTTGGTATTTGGCTTGTTCGTCTATCAAATTCTAAAGTCGTGGCTCATAGCGAAGCTGCAAATTCAGAAGTATTATAAAATGACTAGGATGTAATTTAAATCTCTACTGTATATTGAACATCACTACAGACACTCCAGGGAATAACTGTAATACTGTGATACTGTAATACTGTAATTATCCTGCAATAGACAGACTCAGTGGAAATTTTATATGTGCCAATAGTTTGAAAAAGGTCATATGAGCACATTTTTCTGTGGAGCTGCTGTGATCAAGTCTTTTTCAAGGAAAATTACATAAGAATAGAGTGACGACAAATTATACTGTGGTTAATCCTGTCCAGACGTACTGAGCAGATAGAAATAAAGACACTCTCCGGTGTTTGAAAATCAGATAAACCGCGGCAACGTCTTCCGAGTGGTCGGGATGCGGAGGTGCTAATGTTGCTGCGACTGCAAATCATTTCACCTCCATTAAAGTGCCAAAGGTCGCACATCAATTACAACAGCTCCAGTGAGCTGAGGTGGTTCCTGAAGTTTAACAGTCGTCATCATAAAGCAAAGTTCCAAAATCTGATGAATCACATTTCAAGCTTTGGTAAAACTGCTGATAACTGAAAACTGCCTGATAGTTCAATGTACAAATAAATATTAAAGTTTGAAGAAATACTGTATAGTGTTATTAACGCTATGTTTTGGGTGGATGTTATGCAAGGCAGTGCTCCTGTAACAGCTGCGGAAGCACTAAAAGGATTTTATTGATTTAGTGATTTTCACTGCCAGTACACGTGTATCAATACCAGTGCACTGTGCACGTGTGGGGAGAGTCGGCTCAGCTCCGTCACCAGTCCTGTGGCTGTGCACTGTCACTCTCCCTTACCTTGGCTGCGCTGATCTGTTCTTTCCTGAACCGCTCCAGAGGCATAATCAGCACGTCATTGGCGTTCTCGATCTGGGGGCATGCGCACACGCACACACACACACACACACACACACACACACACACACACACACACACACACACACACAGACACAGACACAGTTTATTACTGAATTACTGACATCTTTTGAAATTAAAACGGTTACATCATTTTCTGTAAAAACATAACGATGCAAACCAAAGCTAAAGGCTATCTGTTAATATTATATAATGAAAAGACTAAATTATTTACCATATGCTAAAAATAAATTACTTGACCTCTGAGTCATTTTGACTAACTGACTTAGGGGTGACTCCTCTCAGTGTCAGAGTATCTGCAAAGTAACGACAATACTCCCTCCCATCAACCAGATCACTCACCATCCGTGTCCTCTCATCCTCCAGGTTCTGCAGGACCGCTGCAAACTCCTGAAGAGACTTGGCTGAGGACAGATATGTTGGCAGACAGGGGGAAAAAGAGAAAGAGACATAAGAAGACAAGAGACAATTGGAAAGAGAGAGGGAGAGGGAGAAAAAGTCAGTATTTCAAACAGTGATGGTGAGACACACACAAGTACAGGCAGACAGAAACATAGTGTTTAAAGAAAGTTGGCGAAAGGTGGCGATGATGAAGGTGCTTTGTGTCTGTTCTTGGGCCTCTTACAAATTTTTCTAAAGTCATGACACAGCAGAGTAATTAACTGGAAATGAAACTGCAATTTAGAGGTTTAGAGCACAGCTCAGTGCTTGTTCCCTCGCTCGCTGGCAAGTGAAGCACAGCCACATTGTTTTGGGCCAGACTTTCCACTTCAACTGCCTCTGTCTCCCTGTACAACACTTCACACACACAAACACACACTTCATTCTTTAGACTCAGTGAGTGCACATACATATTGAACATGTGCTGCATGTGCACTGGAATGTAAAACAAACAAACAAAAAAAAACATTACACATGTACATGCAAATACAGTGCAGCCCAAGTTTATTTCTTAATCATTACATGACAGAACACACACTCTCACACACACACACACACACACACACACACACACACACACACACACACACACACACACACACACACACACACACACACTCTGCTCCTCAACATTAGACTTCAAGCTACAGGATTTGGTAGTTAGAACCAACTATAAAAGAGAGGGACCACAGGACTATGCAAGGAATGTATTAAAAAAAAAACAACACAACCTTTAATAAAGCCTATAAAATGCAGCCAAACAGTTTCCAAATCAATCCCACTGAATGATCCAAATGTGATACTGAGCGAATTACAATGGAATACTGAACTGGCGAGAGTAACAGAGGCTATTTTAAGGCTACAGTATTACGACATTGGGTTGGGAGCAACCACTATTTTTTTTTTTTTTTTAAAGTGTAATTTTTTTAACTGATATCACTGTCGATCGGCTCGGTGTGAAACAACTGTATCACAGAGTTTTGGCCTGACTACGGCTGCGAATATCCTTTAAAACAACAGTGCCGCCCAGCTGAGCAGCAAGCTGTTCAGGAAAGATAGTTAAAGACAGTTAAACAACAGTGGAGGGTGAGTCAGGCCCAGTGAGGAGCTGCGGCCTGCACGGACGGAGCCAGGCAGCATGAGAGGGTGTGGTGGCCGCTGCGTGTTTCACAGCAGGTCTGTTTGGACACACAGAGAGCACTACAAAGCCTGGATGAGATCACGGAATTAAGCGTTACGGATATTGTCGTGTACACCAACATTACACAATATTCTCATGTACGTCAATATGTGTTGGGGTCAAGCGCTGGTTGGAGAGGGCAGAGTCAATCATCACTCTAGATCTTATGTAAATGACGCTTTTTTTATTGGGAATTAGTAGAAAATCTACACTGTAAACTGGACTGTAGATCTCATGTTATATGTGTAACAAATGCTCCTGATGCCGCTGGAGAAACACACTTATTGATTCTCAGCACATCTTTTGATCACAACAGACAAATGAACGCGAAGAGGATTAGACCTCTGCACAATGTGACCGGCTTCACTCTCTGTGTTCTGCCAGAATGCCACAAAAAGTTCATTTTCAGTTCAATGAGATACTTTAGACCATCATAAATGATATTATGCTTTAAAGATTCCTTCTGGCATGAAATAATGTGATTTAGAGAAAAGACGGATTAATAGTGATTCGAAATCTCGATCACAGGACGAATGATCACAGTGTTCAAATTTGGTATTTGAGTTTGTGGCCAGTGTACAATAATCTACTGCACTACTACCACTAAACTGTATGTTAGCTGCTGAAGAGGATTTAAATGTAAAGCGAGTCTTTCTCCTTTTCTTTACTCTTCTTTAGGCAACAAAGTCAGGGAATGGCCTGGCAGTAAAAATGACATCGCTTTCATTCAATTTTTACAATTTGTCAATTAATTGATGGGATTCGTCAATGACCAAGATTTAACACTAAAAACAACACAGGACAGATTTAGAGCAGAGGAACAGTTCGAGACTGTATGATCAACAAGCTGGTCTTTCCATCAGAGCTGATATGACTGTTTTATTTCAGGGACTAAAAATGGCAAAGCATCGTCTAAGCGTCTATTTCCAAGCTTTCCTCTGAAGGTACAGTGAATGTATTGGATTTCACATCAGCAAGCTCACCTATGCATATCTCATCATCCGTCTCGGCATCTCCGATGCACTGGAATTTAAACTCGTTGAGAGAGTCAGCAAACTTCCTCTTGGCTGTTGACAGACCTGAGATAAGAGGGAGGAGGGGGGAGGGGGGGGGGGGGGGGAGAAAAAAAAAAAGAGAAGCTGTTAGGGGTAGCAGTTTCATATTTCATGGTAAATGCATTAATCTGAAATATCATCATGATTCAACAGCTCATTGTAAGGGCGCTTCATCACATCACATTCTTACTATTACTACATACTCTTACTACGGTGTAGGAGAAACCCATTCTTTGTTACTCTTCTTTACGCAGTTACTGAAAGTGAGAGTGAGTGGGAAAAACCTAAACACAGACAGTCGGATAGTGTGCATGGATCCCCAGTGGCGTTAGTGATGAAGGTTGACATTTATGTGGAGATTTGTGTGTGTGCATGTGTGTGTGTGTGTGTGTGTGTGTGAGTGTGAGTGTGCACGTGCGTGCTGAAAAGTACAAAAAAGTTCCATTTAACTTAACTCACATTAGCCAAGTGAGGCAGCGAAAAGCCTCGGACAGATGGATGACTTTCAAATAATACATGAGGCGCTAAGAGCTCCTAGGAGACAGACACTCACAGCGAGTTTGGCTTCCCATCCACTTAAACTCAACGCAGGGTCACCTCCGATACAAAATTTCCTGTTGCTGGGCGGGCCGACCGAGGTCAGCCACATACACAGAATCGGCGTGAAACAGGGGAAGACACCCAGAGAGAGAAACCACTTATAACTTTCTTAGAAACTACTGAAATTGAGGAACAACACACTGCAAACAGGACCTTGCAGGCCATGAGAAACAATGAATTAAAAGGAATTTTACTTTTCAAGTAAGACAGAGAATGCCTTACAATAAGAGTGATGTGGGACATCCCACTATTCCAGAGAGACGAGGACAGAAATTTACACAAAGCGTTCACGAGCAAAGATGTATTTCAGTGGAAGTTTTTAAAAAAATGTGGGTGAAATGAAATGAAATCCAGACAAGGGTGCAGAGAAAGAGACGGAGAGGAGAGGAGAGATCAAGAGTCTCATGGAAAGACAGATGGGAGTCAGGGAAAGGACAGTGAGTGTGGAGAGAGGAGACAGACAGAGCGTAATTGGCCATGTTCATGTAAATACCACAAGTCCTCCATGCAGATCTGTGTGTGTGCGTGTGTGTGTGTGTGTGCATGTGTGTCATCTGCTGTAGCTTGCCAGTCGCAGAAATGAATCGCAGGCCTAGCAGCTCCTGCATGTGCTGCCAGAGACACACACACACACACACACACGCTGGCACCAAGACACACACACACACACACACACACGCTAGCACACAGACACACACACACACACACCCCTCTCTCTCTTGTGACTGACTCATGAAAACATAGCAGGATGTCAGTTAGCTGTGAGTCACAGTGGCTCCGTAGCCTCAAAATAACTAAAGTATGACCAAAATGAGACCACACTCCAACCTTGAAGGATAAACTGCGGTTTTACAGTGCCAGTGTCCAGTAAAGGAAAAAAAAAAAAACTAATTCAGCTCCATTTCTCACGTTGTGACAAACTATAATAAAATGAAAACTACAGCAATAAGCTGGAGGGCAAAAAAAAAAAAAAAAAAAATCTAGCAGGATACAATCAATGTGGATCTTCCATTCTTTCCACTAGATTGAAAAAGGACCGAAAAAGAACACGACTTCTAAGCAACTCAGTTACAAAAAGATTTGCATAAATGTAAAATGTGACACAGCCGAACAGTAAATGGGCACAATTTATTCGTGGTGCCATTTTTCACTGTTGAGCAAAAGAAGTTGTGTTTAGGTTTGAGACAGCACGGAGGTTCCGTTACAACAAGCAGAATACAGCCTCCTCTTTGAAACTGCTGCGTGTGCATCCCTAGCTTCAAAACCCAGAAATCTCAGCACCTGGCAAAGTCATCTATGAGAGACTACAGTGACTCAACAACCTCAACACGTGAAAGCTCTGCAGACACGTCAGGGTGCAGTAAGACAGCAAAATCTTACATTATAATTAATTGAAACTGATGGTTTGGTTAGAGGGAAAAACATTTTTTAAAAAGACCAGAACTGTAATTTTGAATGTTGTCACATTTGAGATTAAACATCTGCAGCATCTGTACGATCAAAATCAGCAACATTACATATTGTCAAATAAGGGAGGCTACACTGACAACAGTCCTTGGGTGTAAACCATATTAAAAATGCATTACTGACAGGATCTACTTTTTCAGATGTGACGCGGCTGATGTTCCTGTTCTCTATCACACATTGTTCACTGACCTTTTTTTTTTTTTTTGTAGTTTTTCATTTGTTCTCTCTGGTAGCGCAAGTGCGTAATTTTCAGCACGGGTGGCTGCACAAACACACACCACCCACAACCACCCACCCTATCCTAACACAATCTAAAATCTCCACCCCTCGATCTTATTTCATACGCACCCTGTAACTGTCCTGTGTTATGATAGCTGTCTGTCTAGTATGTTTTATGGTTTCTCAGTCACCGTGTCATCTATGTCACTCCTTAATTGTCGCGGTATTTCAAAATAAAGTATATTTATAATTTTTTTTTTTTTTTTTAAAGCATGGGTGGCCTCAGTGGGAATCAAATCCAGCTATGGCAACACTGACGTCACCGGGCTACACAAAAGTTTCTCCTCTCTTATTTTTGGCCTCCACCTCTCTTCCTTCAGACAGTTCCTCTCAGCACCTTGTGAGTGAGACGTGCCTGTCGTAGATCATTTCTTCACTCTGGATGAAGCCACACTCCACGTGCTCACCTTCATAAACATCAAAACCAACCCACAGACTGAGGGGTAGGAAAACTGTAGGCCGTAAGACAAAAAAAAAAAGAATAGAGCCTCAGATACACTTACGCTCTTGCATATCATCTTTTTATGTTTATGTTTTCTAATAGTTACTGCGCGTCATTAACTCCCTCTTATCAATCACTCTTATCACTTTGTGCATTTTCCAGCTTGCCTTTTGATGATACAGGAACAGTGACAACTATCAGACGCAGATGCTGAGACTATCTTCATTTCATGAAGAGATATGTCACTTGCATAAAACGTGTGCCATTGATTTCTGAGACTACTGTGAGCAGCATAATGGATTTACAAAGCACCGGTGATAACACCCATATCTCGGGACAGGTATTAATAGCCAATGGAATTATTACTTTTACAATCAGCCTAAAAACCTGATGAAAAGATTTCAAGAGACAAATCCAAGACAGTTAGATATAGTAATAGAAAAGAAACAAAGAAAATGTTTGTGTATTGTGTTTTAGGGGAACCGGGATCTTGCGCCCGTTTCAGTATCTTCATTTTAAAAGGAAATTCCATAGTAGCTTCAACATTTAGACATGAAAGCTGCTGCATGACTGAGCATGCAGAGATTGGTCGGCGATGAATTTCTTCCTGTATGACTTTTGAACATTCATGCAAAATAGTGAGTTCGTCTTAGATAGACCTTCAACGGCCTGAATTCAAACTGTCTCCATTAACAGAAAACTTTATTCCTTCCTGTTTTTTAATGTTTCATCATCAGCCTAGGAAGTATCTTAAATGTTGAACAGTTGGTTGCGGTGAACATAAGACTGACTACAATTTTTTAAACTTCCCCCACTTCTGCAAATACGTTACCGGAGTTACTCATTACACATGTCTGGAAAACACCTTTTGAAAATTCATGTTACAGGACAAGGAAATCATTTTCATAAATCTTTGATATACTTAGAGAGACAGAATTTCCATTGGGTTTTTAAACTTCTACTTTGAAAATTTAGAGCAACAAAGTGTTCTCACTAAAAGCAGTACATGTGAAATCCCCTTAAAAACGCACACGTGTGTATTTTCAGTTCACAGTCGAAGAGCAGAGTCAAAGTTTTAACTTGATCAAAGAGATATTTTTAATTTAGCATGACGTTCAAACTGTCATAAACTTAAGTACATCTCAGGCAGAGCGTAAAAACAATACAAAAAACATTTTTAATAGATTTCGCCTGGTGTGAGTGTTCCCTAACCCCTCAATAATGAAGGCTGGCAGAGGCACGTTAGGTTAGATCATTATATTTTATAGGGGCATTTTTAAAAAAAAAAAGTACAGCACTCAACACAGCGTATTCGTCAGTAAAATGAGCATCCAAAGGTTAACACTGATTCAGAAAAGAAAATGCTTAAAAACCCTCAATACAATAGATTTCTATGTAGATGAAGGATCGCTACTGTATGATTGGGGAAAGGGAGTCGTCCTCTGTACTGTACGTAACACAAAGACTTGATATGGCTAAAAAAAAATAAAATACTCAGGTGTGGTGATCAAAAATTGTCATGTCAACAAGTTAACCAACTCAAAAGCTTGAAACAATTTTACCTTCAAGATGGACCGTTCACTTTAATTATCTCCGTTTGTTTGTTGGTTTCCTTGTTCCTTGTTTGTTAGCAGGATTACACTAAAAGAACAGAACTGATTTTAACCAAACTTGGCGGAGGGCTGGGATGTGGGCCAGGGGAAAAAAACCCCCATTAAAATGGATCTGGATCATTTACTATGAATTAGAATTTTTTCCTCTGAAGTCTGGTGTATGTTGTTCCACACTAGCAAGCGCTCTACTTACTTTCTAGTTTGTCTAATAGGTTACAAATATATTGGTCATTAAAACCTTTAGCTGTGGACAGATGTGAAAATCTGATTATGTAAATGATGTCAATTGCTTCTTCATTGTTGGACTTTTTTCTTTCATGATCATTTTATAACGGCACTTCATTCCGAATGTGGTTTATATTCATTTGTGGCGTTATGTCACATTATAAAGGCAGCACATTCAACACAGTGGCTAATATTATATGAAAGGCCATCCAGATGTGTTCAGTTCCTTGCAATAATTTGATACAGTAATTGTCATCTGTTGCAGTGTGTGCTGAAACTATTATCATGCCATTACTGTTACTGTATTATTGTCTGCCAGTTATTTGACAGCGTTACTAACGAAAAAATTCGAATTTGACAAGGTCCATGTTGTATTTACATACCACGAGCAATGTTCT